GGTCGGTTTGAAAATAAATGAATTGCTGGTCATAGAAAATTATTCCTGTCAGACTTAAACCTAACTAAAATAACAAGAATAAGGGTTTAGACAATTTTGCTCCCTTTTGGCTAAGTAAATTGACCTAAGGTTAAGAGAAATAAGGGGAATTTCTATTTTTCTCCCGTTTATGTATCATAGATCGCCAGGGAGATTTTCATTCCTTATCGGCCCTTTCCAGTATTTTTTCCGTGTCACCGCAATTAGGAATAAAGAATCTATATCAAAGAACGACCTAACTGTTTGAATAATGGTATACATTGTTATTTGATACATTGCGGTCAGTAACATCGATAAATTGGGTGAAGGTGCGGAAAGAGAGGGATTCGAACCCTCGGTAAACAAAAGCCTTCATAGCAGTTCCAATGCTACGCCTTGAACCACTCGACCATCTCTCCTACATAATAATTATGACCCCAAAACCGAGTGAATAACGAGTTATTCATATTAGATTAGTGGATTTGGTACGACCGACCAATTCTAACTAGAAAAATAGAAAATTTTTTGTCAAAGAAAAATCTTTCCTTTGAGGCTCCGGAGATAAAGATAAAAAAAAAAAAATTCTTGTGAAAAACTGTTAAAAACAATTCTATTCATGTTTGCGAAGACGATGTTCCCTTCTTTTTCTTTTTTTCTTTTTTATTTTTTATTTTATATCGGATTAAATCAATGAATTAGAACAAATCAATTAATTGATAGGTCTAGGTTTTTAAAACTATGGTTAATAGATACCTTTAGATCATGATTCTATTTCGACTGTGATTCCATACCATAAATATTTGAACCCAAGGATTTTTATATTTGATTGTACAGTGTATACCAGCTATGCACACAACACAAAATAGACGGTTATTCTATTTTCATCATAGAATGATTATTCGATCCTTTTTTCTTCTTTGGATCCTAATTCAATCAAAAAAATTCGAGTTATCCTAATCTGTAATTTCAATAAAATCAGAGCAGCCCCCCTCATTGACCACTACATTTGGATGAAATCTAAATGGGTTCAAATATTTCTTATTTATTCCAATTATTTGACCCGTCTAATTGCCAGGTATGGGTTAGGCCAAGCAATTGGTGGCATCTGAGTACACAAAATTGTCTACTAGTTTGAGCATTGGGGCAGCATTATCCCTACAAGTAGTCATGTGATTAAACCATGGCTTGTAGGTGCTCTAACTCAAATTCAAACTTAGTTGGCTAGGGTGTTCAAAAAACTCGATAAATCGAAAAATCAGATTGGATCGTATTGAATTGGACGATTTAAGCTAGTTGTATAGCAATTTGATTTGGTCTTGGGTCCAAAATTATAGAACCGTAATTTTTCAGTTCAGTCCTGGTTCAGGGTTGTGCTGGATCAAAGCAGCCTGGACCAAACCGTTATTATGTTATATAATATATATATATATATATATATATATATATATATATATATATATATATATCATATCCTAAACCTAAATCAAGTAAAATTCTCACGTGCCCCCTTTCTGTTTTTTTGTTCTTTAAATTCCTTAAAAAAAAAAAAAATCAATTTTCTTTCCTTTCAAATATATATCTCAATTTTCTGTCCTTTTTTTCTTCTTAATTTTAATTTTAATTTTTTTATTATTATTTTTTTGCATGTTATATCAATGTTAGTTGCTTTTTTTTTTTTTTTTTTTTTTTTTTTTTTTTTGCCCCCTCTAAATTAAAGTAAAAAAAAAAAAAAAAATCAATTGAAACCGACAAACCGAACCGAACCGAACCAAATCAATTTTTTGTGGTTTAGTTTGGTTTGGTTTGGTTCCATGGATATTATGCTTCAGTCTGGTTTCAAAAATAATAGAACCGTTATAAATGATTTGGTCTAAAAATACTTCCAATCCGATCTAAACTGGTCCGTGTGTACCCTTACATTTGCCAAGCAAAAAAAACACAACCCACCTAACTATACCATTACCATACTCATTTGAGTTAAAGATAAACATGACACACACGTGTGTGTGTGTGTGTATTATATATATATGTATAATATATGGAGGCACACGTTTTGGACACGCAGAATCATTCCAGCTTGACATTAGGCATGAATTGGTATGATGTAGACCAAGTCTAATAATATAATACGAAATAAATGGATATGCTAATATAACGAATTTGAAAGAGTCTGAATCCAAGGCCTAACACGCCCCCACTACTTGAGCTCTGCTGTCTCCACGTTGCTACCTCATCTCATGGGATTTGACCACCATCCCTACATAGATATATATATATATATATATATATATATAATCTAAAACCACCCCAATTAAGAAGAGTTAGCTAGCACCCACTTCTTTTCATCAGCTTCACCATCTTAATCTCACAGTTCCCTTTTGGATTTTTTTTCATTTACTTTCATTAGGTACGTTCTAATATTATTGTCCCTCTTTTTAGATTTATGTTTGTATTTTGCATTTTGATTTATATTTATATACAAATTTATGTTGTCTGATAATTCAATGTATTAATAACACTAGAAAATTAGCAGACTATTGCATGTATTGAAATCAATTTTACACGCTCCATTCACCTCTCTAGTTTTCACTTTCATCATCTCAAAATATCATAGTGTGTGTGTATATATATATTCCTTTTCAGAAATTTAAGTAAATGTATTGGTGAATAAAATGTGTAACAAAAACCCAAAGAGGGCGTAGAGGGCCCAGTATAAATAAAAAAAATTAGGCCGTAGCCTATAACATGCTCTCAAAAAGCAACAATATGCATAGTAGCCCACACCATCTGTTACAAGCCCAATCTATGGATAGCCCAGCCCAGAACGTGCTATTTATTTTGCCTACATATTGAGAATTTATTGGATACGATAGAAGAAGTATGGACAGTCGATCAGTCGTGTAATCTGAAACTATTTCATTGACAACAAAAGCTACTGCAAGTGTTGTTTCTAGACTTCCAGTTGTAAAATGTCAGGTCTTAAGTGCCCCACTCTATGCTCAGGTAATATATATATATATATATATATATATATATATATATATGTATACATGTATTATATTTTCCTTGATTTGGTCAGAAAAATGAGCACTGAGGTAAACGGGAATGAAGCTCAAGAAGCTGAAGCAGCAGTAGCAGCAGCAGCACAAGCTCAAGAAGCTGAAGCAGCGGCGGCGGCAGCAGTCGCAGCACAATTTAGGCGGGCGCCGAAATTGAATCAGAGGATTCTTTCAACATTATCAAGGAGATCTGTTGCTGCTCATCCTTGGCATGATCTTGACATAGGTATGTAATGTCTCTCTAATTTTCTCATTTTCACACAATTACTAATCATTATATATATATGTATATATATATATATTTGAAAGGATACTAATATTATACTATGAGAAGCTTGATACTAATAAATATGCCGAATTAAATCTTTACAGGTCCCGGAGCTCCCCAAATTTTCAACTGTGTACGTAATTATTCTGCTTAATTTTGTACCCCAATCATCAATCAATAAGTACTTGCTCAATGCATCAAACAAATTGCTATCCCAATATTGACTAATTAATATTATGGTGCAGGTTGTTGAGATTACAAAGGGAAGTAAAGTCAAATATGAACTCGACAAAAAAACCGGTCTCATCAAGGTATGCAACAATTCATGGTAGTAACAAATCTCCATTTATAGACATTTCTTGTATATGCAAATCAAGAATACACAGTACAAGAGATCACATACTTGTATTCTGTACGTTCCTTTTAAATTTCATATGATATTGATGAGAATTACAACTGTTTTCGGCTAATTTCTAGGTTGATCGGATCTTATATTCGTCGGTGGTCTATCCTCACAACTATGGTTTCATTCCTCGAACACTTTGTGAAGATAATGACCCAATGGATGCATTAATCCTCATGCAGGTAACCATGTCACACCTAAATTACCATAAAAACACATAATTTAGAGACATTTGTTTTTTCAAAATCAAATGCTGCTGGAATCTACTAAAACATCATTGACATTTTTTAATTAACAGGAACCGGTCCTTCCTGGTTGTTTTCTTCGAGCTAGGGCCATTGGACTGATGCCTATGATTGACCAGGTGCAAGTTAATTAATGTCCTAAAATGCATGTACCTATATATATATATATATATATATATATATATTTGCAAATCATTTGTTCACATAGTAGTAATATTTGGAGATATGCATATGATAATTGATGTTGTTGCTTATTAATCTCAGGGAGAGAAGGATGATAAAATCATTGCAGTTTGTGCTGATGATCCGGAATATCGCCACTACACTGATATCTCACAACTTGCTCCTCATCGTCTGATGGAGATTCGTCGTTTCTTCGAAGACTGTATCCCTTTTGTCTTTTAAAAGTATCTACTTGTGTTCATGTGCATGAAATTGGATAAAATTTAGTTCATAGTTTAAACTGAATTTTTTTTTTTTTTTTTTTTTTGAATTCTGATTCCATGCAACCGAACCCAACATATTAATATTCAAAATCTAACCAACTTTGGAGTAAGTCATACTAGTTCCTTAATGAATGATTCAGACAAGAAGAATGAGAACAAAGAGGTTGCAGTTAATGATTTTTTGCCTTCAACTAATGCATATGAAGCTATCCAATACTCCATGTATGTTGTAGTTAATATAATCCTTTGATCTCTTAACATAAAATGGTTTTATCAACTAAAATTTTAATCTAGGAATTTCTTGGTATTTTGATGCAGGGACCTCTATGCTGAGTACATCTTATGCACGTTGAGGACATAGATCGATGGGGGTTGTTCCTTAATAATTCGATACATCGGTGATACTAAGCAAATAAGAGATTGCAAACTCATTATTTATACTGAATTTTAAATATTTTATATGCTTCTGTGGTAGAAATTTCGTGACATGAAAATGAGTGAAGTCTTTGTATTAATTCAATATTTTTGTTCTTGGATTTCAATTAAAGTTTTAATTCTTACTATTGCCAAGCTGTGTCTATTTTTAATCCAAAACCAATGTAATCAAGAGACTGATTTCCTGGTTGCATTGACACTTTAATATAAAATATATTTTTAAATTTTTTGTCGAACGGGATATATTATAGTCGAATCTTACATCTAATACTTCAAGTATCAGAATCAAGTGACTTACTCACTTAAATCAATCCTTTGAAATTATAATAAATAAATATTTTGATAAGAGTTAATAAATTAATTTGATGATTTTCTGCCAAGTTATTTTCTTCGATAAAAAAATTGTAAAAATAAACAAGATACTGGGCCAGATATATAGGGGGAAATAAAAAGCCCACAATTGAACAGAAAAATGACAAATTAAAAGATATCAAAAAAGAGTATGACGACATAGCATCAATGAGCCCAGGTACGCAAACAACACGGCCCAACCACAAACAAAAAAAATAAAGGAAAGTTTGTCACTAAATGGACCAAAAGCATGGACGAGAGATTGTTCAAATTTTCAAATATGTGTAGTGATGGTAATTTGTTTAGGTGGGGACAATTTTGTACAATAATAAGTTTTTTGTGAAAAAAAAAAAATTGAAACAAAAAAAATAATAATAATAAGAACTTAATATTGATTGTTAATGGTTTCATTGAATACATTTATAACTATTTTGGATGAATGTTCATATTTAATAAAATTCTTATACAATTTGAAGAAAAATTATATATATCTAAATAATACAAGTATACAAAACAAAACAAGTGAATGAATACTATTACAATTTTGGAACAAGCCAAAAGTACTTATTAGGAAGTAAAGTACAACTTAGAAAGTCTTTAATTGGACTAAATTAAAAAAAATTAAAATTAAAAAATGAAAACTTGTCTTTGTATTGAGGACTTCAACTATTTTTTGATATAAAGATGTTTTATTTTAATTTTTAAAAAAATTCAATATACCTTCTTAGATATTGTGATTCTGAGAGAGAGAGAGAGAGTAGCCATAAAAGAATTGCGGAGAAGAGAAAAATAAGAAATGGAGATAATTGGGTTGTCCGACGACTCTCACGTTGTTTGGTGAAGAGGGGTATAGAATTTATAAAGGGTAAAAGTCACTCCAACTAATGGGTTAACCTTTAAGGTTAGATACCACTAACTCAATAACTGGTATTAGAGTCATGTCCCAAGTTGTCGCAAATGGACTCGAGGATTCCTTATTTGATAGGAAGTTCGGTGACATTCTATCCATTGAAGAGTCTCGTTCAAGGGGGAAGATCGTTGGGCAACTGATACCATTCCCAAATTGTTGCATGTGGACTTGAGGATCTTTTAACCGACGAAAAAGTCAGTGACATTCTATCCAGTAGAGGGCCTCATTCAAGGAGAGACTGTTGGGCAACTGATGCCATATCCCAAGCTGCCACATATGGACTCGAGGATTCCTTAGCTGACGGGAAGTTCAGAGACATTCTGTCCACCGAAGAGTCTCATTCGAGGGGAGATTGTTGGGCAGCTGATATCATGTCCTAAGTTGCCGCATGTGGACTTGAGGATCTTTTAACCGACGGAAAAGTCGGTGACATTCCATCCACCAAAGAGCCTCATTCTAGGGGGATTACTACAGTCGAACAAGTCCCACATCGATTGGTGAAAAGAAAATTCTAAAAGACAAGGGTCACTCTATCTAATGATAATGATAATGAGTTAACCTTTTGAGTTATATATTTCCAACTCAAAAAGAGTTATGGATTATCGAGTTAGGAGGTGGAATAAAAGAGGGACTATATATAACACATGCTGCAAGCCATACTGACCATCCCAACATTTGAATGCTCTAGATTTCATGCCAAGTTTAATCTGGTTCTGTTGTTGGGGTTTTAGTTTATTAAATTATTACTGTGTCATTTTCTTAAGTACCTGAGAGTTAGCAATTAATATAGATCATGAGATTGCAATTTTGAGTTTGTCATTTTCGTTTTTTTTTTTTTTCTTGGTTTTTTGGGTTGGTATTTTTTATTATGCCTTGTAGGTTGATCAATAAGACTGGCAATTGTCAATTAAATTGACTCCATACATACACACTCTGAGTTTGAAGCAGGATTAGGGTGCCCAAGAATGACATGAGTCAAGTTGAGGAATAATTGATCATGGCTATGTTATTTTAAGGTGCTGATAAATAAATGATCTTATCAACGTCCATGAATGATAAATGGTAACATAATAACATTAATTAAAAATAGGGACATGAGTAAATACTGATACAGACCATCCCCAACCCCACATAACAGTGAAAGAGTGATGTTAAACAACATAACCTCCACTTGGAGGGTAGAGGGTTCTTGGCACTATAATGGAGTTTGGAAGGTGTGTGTGGTCCTGCACCTATTCGGCTACAAGCAAATTGCAACAATTGTGTACCAACAAAGTCTTGAAATTATTTCTTTTCGTCACAAGCATGACTAACCATGTACCACACTAGATATTTCATTCATAGAAGCTGATCATGCTTTTGAAACCCTAGCTTCCTTTTCTTTACCTTTTTGCATTTTATGTCTAGCATTTGTAATCTCCACAAATTCTCAAAAGAGCGGAGTGTTATTGTATAATCTTCTCTTGATCCATCAACTTATTTTGTTAATTTTGAGGTGAGTTGAGTAGTACAATTGATAAAGACACTCTTCTGAATCGTGTGGGAGTCCAGGTTCGACTCACCCTATTCCTCTCTTTCCTCCTCTCCTCCTCCTTGTCGAACCCAAACTCATACGGCTCAAGAGAGTGCCTCTATCAACCGTGCAACCCGAATCAACTTTTTATTTGTTTTTGTGGCTAGGTAAAAATAAAATATGATAATACAGATGTACCACAAGCATATTTCATTACCCATAGACAAAACATAAGGACACCCACCAGAATACATGACCCCAAAACACCCAAGGACACTCATCATCCAAGATGTGATGACAATTAACGGAAGGGACACAACTACAACAGCCCTCAAGAGCCTACTATATAGCTACGGCTATTACCGACCCTCTAGTTTTAACCATTGAATCATACAGACGTCAATCATGTGGTCCAGAACTATTGAATCATTAATTTCATTTGAACGGTCCGATTACGAAACCACGACCCGAAAGTGACAAAAAGCAAGTGAAACAAAATAGAGGATGCGATATTGTACCAGTAAATCTTAGACGAAAGAGATGAAATGAAACACAGTTGATGAGGGTATGCATAGTAAGGGGTCCATCAGTAATTGTAACAGATGAGACATAATAGCCCATCCCTCACCGCCCACTTTATACTCCTTCATATTCTTTGATTGATGCTAACTGTTGGATACAAAATGAGCTTACATCAATTTCATTTTTAATGTCAGTTTTTCAAGAAAAATTTCATTACGGACATGTGACTTGTCTCTCCTCAACTTCTTGTTCCATTGGGACAGACTATTGTAATTTGTGAACTAACTTGGTTTCATATATACATACAAGTTAGAGTATTTTCAACAGTTTGTTAATTTTTTTTTTTTTTTTTTTAATAAAATATACACTGCCACATATGATTTGTTAATTTTTTTTATTTTTTTATTTATTTTCAACAGTTTGATAAAATACACTATCACGTCACCAATGTGTGTAAAATTGTTATGTATTTTACACAATCTTTTTACACAGTTACATATTTCCTTTCTCATCTATATTTTTCATTCCATTGACGAATTAATCTTATATTAAGTAGGTTTGTAAAAATTACGTGAAGGAGCTAAAAATAAAAAATCTAAATTTTTTGTATAAATCTGATATATACACAACTGTTGGTGATACTCTTAGAAATTAAATTAATAAATGTAAAGAGTCTTAGAAATTAAATTAATAGATATAAAGAGTCAAAATCTGACACTTCAAAATTTACGGGAGGCACTAATTCAATGGACTATCAAGGCATTTGCTTCAGATATTAATATTTATTGACTTTTATTTATTTTGCATGACTTCCTTTACTTGATTAATTACTTGAGCAACATTTTTTCCTTTTTTCCAAAAATGGTAAGCTCTTAGCCACACAAGAACCCTAAATAAAAAAAACAACCCTTAAAGCCCAGACCAAATGAGGCCCAATAAGGACGCTCTCCTTTCCTTCATGATACATTTTTTTAGTGTTGGATGATATATATATATATATATATATATATATATTGAAAAAATATTAAATAAAGGGATTTTGCAGCCTTATATTGTGGACTATTTTTAGAATCATTCATGGATAACGTTTAATTTTATTAGGGGCAACAGATTGGAGGGTAACTTTAACATTGATGACCAGGCTTGTGACAGGTGGAGTATTCGAGCTAATTTCTAATTTTTTAATTTATTTTTTTATTTCTGTTGTAGTCTAATAAATCAATCAAATGATTTAACTTTCAATTTCTCAATAATCTCAATTTTGGTTCTTTGCCCGTATAAGCGTGGATTTTATGATTAGTTTTTATATATATGTATATACATGACCTGTTTCTTCTTTAAGCAAATGAATTTATGAAATAACTTTTTTATGATATGAAATTGTAATATATATATTTTTTTTCCTATATGAAATTGTAATTCGAATACCGCATTTTGTTTAACTTTGGTATCCATATCTAAAAAGAGTTACAGCATTAATTATCTACACATGGCAAAGCCACTCTTTTTATATTTAATTGAAAAAGACAAAAGAGGCTTTTGATTGTTTTTTGTTTTTTGTTTTTTGTTTTTGTTTTTTTATTTTTAAGTAAGAAAAAATGTTGATTACCATTACAAGAAATAATTTTATAATATACAATTTTTTTCTTTAAAAAAAAAAAAAACACATTTGAAAGAAACTCATCAAAAAGAAAAAATTGAAGGATAAAAAAGCTTGAGACCCGACAGGCAACAAATGCAGTCCCACAACTCAAAAGAAAACTCAAATGTAGTTCTGACCAAACACCTTAATTTTTGGATTATATCTTTAATTAATGAAATGCTTAGTGA